GCAAGGGCAGGGAAGGGCTTGTTGGTTCCGTCCGGGCCTGGGCCTGGGCCTGGGCCCCCGGGGCTTCCCCTCCCCGGCCCAGGGCGCGTTAGAACATCTCATTTATTTACACGTCTTGGTAATATCTAATAGTCACATTTGGTGAACCTTTTGTTTTAGGAAACGAAAGGGACAGACCGTGAGGAGCACGAACTCCAGCTTGGTTGGTTGTTTTTAAATTCACGTTGAGACGCTGTACAAGAACTCGACCCACCTGTCCCACCTGTCCCCCCCCCCTGCCCGCAGCATCCCGCCCGTGCCCGCCCCAGTGCCCCGCACGGCACCTGCTGCCGCGGCCTCACCTGCAGAAAACAACGTAATTCAGTTCCTTTAAGGCTCCTGGGAGAGGGGAGGAGCAGGGGAGAACTGGTACCCAGCAGCTGTGGCACGAACAGCTCTGGGCCCCCGAGATGGCCGGGCTGGAGACAAAACTGAGCTCTTCCTCCTGGGAACCACCCAAGCAGGTTTGCTGCTGTGTCACAGGGCACAGGTGAAGTCCTGGCTCTTGTCCCCGCTCCCTTGCCCGGGCACTGTTGCCCAGGGCCCTGTGACTCAGCTGGGGGCTCAAATCCCTGTGCTGCTGTGAGAAGCTCTGGTGTTTTGAGAGCTGACACGGAGCTCTCCTTCCCTCCTCCTTCCTCCTGGTGTGCTTTGGCATTTCCAGGTCCCAACGGGGAGACAGTTTAACACAAATGGTGAAGAATTTAAACAAGAACAGTTTTCTGACACTTTTATTCAGCTGCAGGTCTTATGACAAAGTCCTACATGAGCCAAGTGTGGCTGGAGGGGCAGCAGAGCAGAGAGAGGCAGGAGGCAGCCACAGCACCAGCAGCACTTCCCAGATGGGTGACCTCAGTGGTCGGGTTCCCTGGGGATACCGACATCCACAGGTGGGAAGCACAAAGCTGGGGGCAGGAGCACCCTCCAGGCAACAGATTTGATGTTGTACAACTAGTGATGGTTTCACTCACTTCTCTCCAATACCAGCCTGTTTTCTGAACTGACCTTGCTCGGAGCTACGGCGCTCGCTGCTTGAAATCTGCCCTTTTACGGGTCTCCTGTAGATGGTGTGTAATTCACCTAGTAGGTAGTCTGGATTATTTTTTTAAAAAACCTAAATAAGGACTACTGAAACTTCTCAAAGAAACCCTTCTTGGCAGCAATGCATGGCAAACCTGCTTAGTGTGTACATGTACCACTTCTCTACCACCTACTTTCCATGCAGCAAAGCTCATGGTGCACTGGACTTACAAGTCATGGAAACACCTCAGAGCTACCAAAAAAGCATTGGTTTGGCTGCATTTGCCTTCAAAGCCATATTTGCATGGAAATCACTTTTCACTCGATTCCATCCCTTATTAATTAATTTTTTTTCTCAAAGGAACTGTCTCAGAGTGGCTACATGACATTCACAACTGTATGTCTTGCTCTCCTACAGTGCACAAGTATTGAAATATTTTCAACTGTTTATTTAAAAATATAAAAGGATAGAGCAACAACTCAATTTAGACTTCTCCAAAATGACACTCCCATTTTTATATATATATATTTGCACATATTTTAAGAACACTTAAGATGTTTGGAATTACGACTGGATGTTATTTTAGCCTTCACCACTGCAAAACATTCATAAGGGAGTGACTAAAACACAAGTTTAATGTATGTAAAGCGGACACAGAACCGATGTATTTTTAATTACTGGTGTGCTGAGTATGCTATTTTAGTAAGATTTCTGAAACAGTTAAAAACAGAGAGTGTATGCTCTTTTTATTGGCATACAGTCACTACCCATAGAAGTGCATTTGTGTCAAAAGTAATTTTCATCTTTACAGGAAGTGACAGAATTCCAGTTGTTGGCAGAGTATAGAAAGCTTTTCATACACCATCTTTTTTTTTATTATTAGACAGAGAATATAAAATCTGAACTGAAAAGAAAATTCAATGCATCATGGAAACTGTATTCCTCAATAGCTTTTCTTAACTCTAGTTTTTCTCTCTTATGACATGCTTCTAAGACATCTGAAGTGTTGTGCTATTCTTCAAAAAAATCCTCTTTTACCAAGACCAAATAGTGTATTGAGACTGGATTAATACACTGTTATTTATATCCATATCAATGCAAGTCAAATTAGTGCCTTGCAAATTAGGCTTTATTTTGCTAAGTATGACTGCTTAATCTGTGTTAAGGACTTGGGGGGTATGTTATTTATGACTGATTAACTAATTATTTCTCTGTAACAGTGTTTTCATAAACATGCATGGATTCACCAGCCATTCACTTGCTTAATAAATGTACAGATAAAATGTGATTCTTTGCACTGAAGCTGTTTACTTACTTTACTTCTGCATCTAATTTATAAAAAAAATTACATTGGCAAAAATGCTACATAGCTGAACTCTAGTTCTAGTTAAGTGGATGAATCTGTTCATGAAGTCATGCTCTGCAAGTTGCCTACACCAGGGTATTTTTTCCTTAGAAGACACAGCCATCAAAGATCTTACTTTGATGTTAATTAAGCCTTTTATCTTCCTCACAATTGGTATCATACCAGACCCTTCCAGGCACAGATCCCCAATCTTCCTGAATTCATGTTTTGCTTTAAAAGTCACTGGCCTAGGGTTGTGTATTGTTTTATTGTTGTGGGTTTTTTTTAACCTAGTATTATTTCACACTCTTGTTACTGACAGCAATAGTCCATTTCCAAGGAGGTAATTGGTGACCTCTTTCACTTTATGGTGATATTAAAACCAAAAGTTTTAAGTTATGATGCTGTCTAATCAATGTATTATCTTCACAGCAATCACAATTCTCAAAACACTAACAAAAATAACCAGCTTTAATGTTTACTATACATTTAATGCATGTGCCAAAATGTTAAGTTAACCTATTACCAGTTTCTGAATGTGCACTGAGTGCCATTTATAAATATATGCCATAAAAACATCTAAAATACTCAGTCTTGTTCCTGTAATATCCCTGAACACCCAGAACGTTCTGACTGAAAACTTGGCGAGGAACAGAGTTTCAGAGCTTAACACTGTCACACAAGATCAGTTAGTCACACATATTCCTAATGGGGTTCAGTCACTTCTAAGTATAACTTGCATTACAGTGACCCATACTTTACACACACAGCATATATCACCTGCTAGTCCAGATAGAAAGGATTTTTAAAATCTATTACACATATCTGAAGAAAAAAATATGACTTTTCCTTGTTCCTCCACACCCCCCCAGCCCATCAAGTCCATGGATTACATACTTTGACAAGTGTTCTACGTTAAAAACTTTCAAGTACCTTAAAGTTTTGTTATACCAAAAAAGCTGCCTTTTTCTTTCTTTTTTTTTTCTTTTTTAAAGTACTTTGTACAATTTAACACAAAATTCAGGTGCAAGAATTTTAAACAAAAAAAAATGAACTAAAGAGCTTTATTGACATCACAGTACATTCAATAGTAATTTTTAAGAACATTACAGCTGAAAGAGAATGGCATGTTTTATATTCTTAATAAGCACTACTGTTCTTGAAAAAATGTAATACAAAGAAATCCTATTAGGTATTTAATTCTGAGCAGCATTTGGAAAAAAATACACCTATTTACAGATAAAAAAAGGGATTCTGGTTTCACCTACATAGCCACAATGTGCCTCTATAATGAGACAAGCCTTTTATAACTCATGGAATTTTTAAACATCACAGCACTGGTGCCATAACATTCCTCAGCGTTTACGACGAAGAGGAGTCGTCGATCTGAAAAATAAAGGAAAAGGGGAGGGGGAAAAGTTAATGGGAAGAAAACCTTAAAACCCCAAACCCACACACACGTTAGGCTTAGTCATTAATAGTTTTATTAACATCGTTTCCCAAGTTACTTTTGCCTAAGACAAACTTAAATCAATACCATACTTGATTTAAAAAGAAAAAAAAAGTTCCTATGCCGTACACATGAAGACGAATAGCAAAAAATAAAAAAGAAAAGTCAGACAAAATACTTAAAAAGTATACTACCTTGATCGTGACTTAGACTTGTGTTTGCGGCTTGCCTTCTTACCAGACCTTTGGGATTTCTCCACGGAGCATGACCGAATATGCTTCGATTTCTTGGCCTTCTTTTCTTTACTGCTTCCTGGCGATTCCGAGCTACTCCTTGCACTAGATTCAGAGCCTGACCGTTTTTTGCTATCTTTGGTAGTAATTTTTTTGCTTTCTTGCCTGGAATCCTGCCTTATGATTTTCACGCAGATGGAATCACCGCGAGAGAAAGTTCTTTCGCTGTCTCTTTTCCTCTTTAACCTACTGTCGTCATGATTGCCAGCCTTACTGTCTTTTTCCTCTTTTTTGGGCTTATCTTTCCTTTTCTCCTGATCCCTCTCCCTTTCTCTGTTCTTTTTCCTGTCTTTATCTACCCCTCCACCCTGCTCCTTCTTCCTTTCTTGATCTTTCCCCTCGCTTTTGTGTTTGTGCCTGTTTCCAGTGGGGCTCCTACGCTGGTCGTCAGCCTTACGCCTGTCCCTGCTCCTGCTGCGGCTCCCGCGGTTCGCTCGCCTGTCTCGCGAGCGGC